TAATGTATGTATTACCAACCATAGTATTATGCATGTACTTATATATAGTATATATTTTTAACACTTAATGTTAAGCGCCATTGAGCTACAGGAAATGGCGCTATATAAATGAGTAATAATAATAATAATAATAATATTGAATTCATTGCTGTAGTAAACTTTCGTCAGGTATTGAAATAATAAGAAAAGTTAAGGGTCAGAATTTGTTGATCGGAACACTTTACTATTGGTATATAATGCTTCAATTGAACCTCGTTTTGATTATTGTGGCGAAGTTGGAGATGACCTTGGTAAATACCTTAGTGAACGCCATCAAAAGCTACCAAATTTACCGACTGGAATAATTAATTTCAAAAATGAAGCGCCGCGGTCTGTCTATTTTGGCTTGTAATGTTCTTGACTGGATATCGCTTGACACACGCTGGGTACAAATAAAAGCCAAGATCATGTTCAAATCGTTCAATAAATTAGCCCTCCAAAGACTGTGACATTTTTCAAAGTCATATCTTATTTGTTTCCTTCCTCGACTTTTGTTTTTAGGAATTAGCTCTCTTTGTTAATTTTATTGTTTAGTCAGTATATAACTTACAGCATATTGGACATAATATAGTAATATTTAAAAATTAATTCATGTTTTGTTATGTAACGCACCTCTTTTGGAAATGAGCTGCGGGTTGAAAAGACTAGTGGGTTTGAATAAACTTGATCATCATGCGTAACATTACATATAAAACACTGACATCCCAGTCAGTCTGGGCCAGTTTGTTAAATGCGACTCCCAGGGATGTAGTTGGGAATACCCACTCACACGAACAAAGGTTAGACGTGGTAGGTATGATAAATACTGGATCTAGCACATTCGTATAATTTAGATCAGTTGTTCGTGTTCATTGCTATTTCCTCGACTCCCCTCCCAAAGAAGACAGTTTACTGCCTCGCTCCTCGGCTTACAGGCTCGCATTGCCCATAATTCTCTACCTGTGAGCCAATGGGACCACGACAGCAGTTAAAATAGATTAGTATTTTCTGAAACGTTTATCTCGTAATTACAACCTTGTTTCGTCAACCTTATTGTAATATTCTTGTTTATCAAGACTGTACGAGACTTATTATAGAACAACATTGTGACAAGTTTGATAATGCCATCAAGCTTGTTACAAGTTGTTAACGGCTTCTTCCAAACTTGTTACAACAACTGGGAACAAGCAGTGCGAAGACAACATGTTGACAGCTTGTTAACGGATTTGTAGCAACCCAGAGGAGGTCGGACAAGCAGGCCGCAAAGCATCATGGGTTTAAGCGCCTAATTCCAGGCGTGGCTTCAATGACTCTTTGACTGTCGTGGAGTGAACATCTCTCTGAGTAAACAAATATGCAAGCATTCGAAAGACAAAATTGTTAGGCTGCAACACTTCGTGAAAATAGCATGTTATTGCTGTATTGTTGCGATCCTCATTAAGACGTGTGAGTTACTGGGACATGCTGTCATTTTAGCTTTATAAATAATCCGCGAAGGAATTGTGTTATTCCCAATAGCAACGCTCTTCTTTCTAAGTTGGATGGCGTTTATAAATCTCCGTGTATCATCAACGTGAAAACAAGCGCAGTAGTTAAGGTTGGTATCCTACAATGCAATACAGTTGACTTGTTTCAAATTTCCGCTTTGCTGTTTTCAATATTGTACTGTAATTTTATAAATACACTGTACAAATTATTGCGTAATATTTGAAAGATTAAATTCAACCTTTAGTGGAATGATGTCTGTTTGTATATAGTTGTGAATGGTTGTTAAATGTGCAAACTGTAGTTTAATATTTTCAGTTTTCATCTAAATATTGCTTTGTTTGTGTGTTGTTCTAAATACACAGTTAGGTATTAAGAATTTAGAGATTTCATGTGCTTTTATGTAAGATTGCTAATTTTAGAGATGATGGTGTATGGAATAATAATTTTTTGTTATGATTTTGTAGAAAGAGATTTACTTGAGTTGTTGGCTGGTCTTGAGTCTGTTCAGGATGGATATGATAGTGAAAGAGCAATCTCGTTCCCAGAGTATGCCTGTTCGCGGGTTAGGTTGTGGCATGACTCTGGGGAAATCGAATCGAAATCGTTATTTGATTGGCTGCCGTGATCATCAATGCTGCCGACACAATTAATGCGTGTTTTTTGCGAGAATTACGCGTGGACATACGCGAAGACGCCGAAGAGAGAATTATCAATGTTTATCAGATTTGGAATGCGAAATCAAACGATATAAATCGAAGGATATGATATTAATCGTATGAAAAAGTATTGGGACGTTGGGTATATACTTACAAAATGGCATGGTATTTATGAATGACTTTTTATCGATCTACAGTACGAGTATATTCATTATAACCATGAAAGAATTGGGCCCAATTGGCTAAATGAAATCATCGCACACGTTGTCGTTTTGTTAAATTGACATATTGTTGCCAGGACTTTGGAGTGACAGCTTTTGCTTGTGTTAAAGACTTGAAGCTTTAAACAATACAGTACATTATGGTCAATGGTCAACACTCAACATGTTGTAGCCCGTGGTCTTTGTGCTTTTGTAAATGGAGTTATCTATATAAATTTAAGATGCCAGGTGTTTTTGTAGCATCTGTATAAATTATAGAATAATTGATTTAAGAAGTTTCTCAGGTTGTAAAACATTTGGTTATAGATTTGCTTTGTAAGTGATTGCCACTTGACAGCATGATGGGCTATTCCATTTAATATCTGTACACCCCCTGTCGATACATGTTTTTCATGGTTATACCCCTGAAGAATTTCAAACTCAAAACCTTTTACCCCTGAAGAATTCCAAAATTCCAAGCTCAAAACCCTTTACCCCTGAAGAATTCCAAGCTCAAAACCTTTTACCCCTGTTCAAAGAATTCCAAAATTCCAAGCTCAAAACCCTTTATCCCTGAAGAATTCCAAGCTCAAAATGCTTTACCCCTGAAGAATTCCAAGCTGAAAACCCTTTACCCCAGAAGAATTCCAAACTCGAAACACTTTACCCCTGAAGAATTCCAAGCTCAAAACACTTTACCCCTGAAGAATTCCAGGGATCCTCGACAGGGGGGGGGGGTATGGATATTAAATGGAATAGCCTGATGTAAGGCTATAACTAAGCCAAACCTGAAACAATTTTTACATCAATTTGTGTCTGGATAAAAATAAGTAGTGAATTTAAATACAGATGTTTCCTTGTCTGTTGCTACTGTATGTGCTATGTGAAACAATGTTGTTTATAGCAATAAGAGTCATTGTTGATCAATAACAATGCTCATTTGCTAAAAATATACAAGTACTGATTCCATTTCCAAACTATTATACTATGTGAATATATTGGCAATTAATCCAATTATATATAAAAGGAGATACTGACAGTAGAATTGAAATAGCTACCAGTTTCAATCAAATAACTACTTTAATTTCTGTATCAACTACCAAGCCTCCCACAGTGTGAAGCATGAAAAACAAATGGAAGATACCCACTGCAAGAAATTTTCAACAAATATATATGGATTTGTTCACTTCATTTCTTACTTTCGACACAAGTAATTATGGTAATTATAATTACAAACAGAATGTACTGTCTTTAAATACTTTATATGTGCTCCATCTATATATGTTAATGTAATATAATATAAAAAATAATGTGTTTATTGTTAAAATATGGGATATATAATACCGTAAACCTCTGACTATAAGCCCTGGGCTTATATTCTTTTGTAAGTGATTTTTGATGGGCTTAGGGGGGGGGGCTTATATGCACGGGGGCCTTATACACGGACGATCAATTGTGTTAGTAATAAACAAGTCAGTCATAAACAGGAAAATAAACATGTATTAATAACACACTCCATTAACATAGCAAGCTATAAAGACAATGACATGAGTGTTTCAAATATCGTTCTCTGTTATATTAAAAGACAATGTCAATGTTAAATAACATAGTGGGATACTGGGCTTATATTCAGGGGGCTTATATTCAGGGGACTTATATTCAGGGGGGCTTATATTTGGGGGGGGGGGCTTATATTTGGAATGAGGTGAGCATTATATTCAGAGGTTTACAGTATACAGTTCAAAAAAGCTTGTATTTTCTTGTCACAGACACACATTTCTGGGTGCATATAGAACAGCTTATACGTCAGGTTCTCATGTCGATCCAATGGTAATTTGATATCGCTGCCATCACCATAATATAGTGTACCACAGAATGGCCTTGTCTCATACTTTGACATCATGCATGCAGAAATGCCTTGGTCATTCATGTGGAGATATTACTATCACGATAGAATTAGTTACGCCAAGTAACACGTCAGGTAGCAGCTGAAATATTTTAATATTTGCCATAATAAGCCCATAACCTGTTGGCAAAACAACCAAAACATCTTCACCATTTTACATTATGGCCGAGATACATTTGAATGTCTCGTCTTTTACCGAATATTCAAGCCCTCTTTTCGCTAGAACAACTTTCATAGCTCTTTCAGTATTTGCCATTGAATATAATTTAATATAGTAGTACGATTTAAAGCACCTTTAAACGTATAAAAACCCATTTTGTATAGTATATTCTGATGAGAATCTTTAAAACAATATCGATTGTGAGCTTGTGCCCGCGCGAATTTAGTAAGCGGAATAAAGAGCAATAAAAGCGCATGCGCCATTTATCTCATTTTGGATAAAAAAATTCAATTTCCCCAGAGTCATGCCACTACCTAACCAGCGAACAGGCATACTCTGGGAACGAGATTGAGTACGACCTGACACAAAAGCGGCATTTTGCCTGGTTATTCAGTCCAGAATCTGGACTGAGCGCTGATTGGCCGATTAGACAAACGATTTTTTAAATCTGTCATTTGATTGGCTGCTGCTAATTAGATTATATTATTGTTGTTGATATATTTTATAACGATCACAACTACAATTATAGCCGGCCCACTAAACGGCTGAATTTAAATTAAAACTGCAGTAAAATTAGAAAATAATCGCAAATTAGCGAAATATATTGCAACTGTAGCTTATATTAAATCGCCATCAGATTGCACTATCGACTAACTGACGTATAGTTATAAAGTATACTTAATATATATATATATATATATATATATATATATATATATATATATATATATATATATATATATATATATATATATATATATATATATATATATGAAACCTCTGCGGAGGAGAGAGCAATCGGGTGGCGATTTAATATAAGCTACATTTGCAATATATTTCGCTAATTTGTGATTATTTTTGTTAATTTTATAAGTTCATTGCAGTTTTAATTTAAATTTAGCCGTTTAGTGGGCTGCCTATGCTATAATTAGATTGTTGTTGTCGTTGTGTGAAATTTAAATTTCTCCTGCGACATTTTGATTGGATACTAAATATAAACTTTGCTGTGGGCGGAAAGCGATCAGGTTAAGTTTTGTGTCAGGCTCTATTTGTAAAATAGAGCCTGATACTCAGGTTAGGAATCGTGTTTACTTTCATGCAAATTCGAATAACAAGGGCAGATTTCGTTTTAAGCCAATCAGCGAGTTTGTTTACATTTTCGCTCTTGACCAATCAGAATGCTTAAAATTTAAAACGTAAACAAAAAGAGCGAGCAAATATTATCGTAATCTAAGGCTTCCGTGAGCTACAATATAAACTTTTTTTTCCCGAAACCGAAAGATTCTAATAGAAAATACATATGTCTTGAATTTTGTCGTGGGACTTTTTAAATTTCGACACAGAACGCGAAATATCGATGTTTGAATTACCGCCGTGATTGCGCTCGTAGCCGCATATCATATCGTCAAAACCGATCGATCTTTGAGAAATAACGCTGTTTTCATTGGGAAGATTTTGTAGTTTTTCCTCCGTTTTATAGTGCATGCATATTCTGGTATAATTTACTGTACTATACCTCTGATCGTGTTGTCAGAAATGCGTCAAAAAGTTATATTGGGCGGTGATCAGGGGCGGTGATAATAAAAGTGGAATGTCATATCCGGTTTCTTGTTCACTCTCGATACACGCGCCTGTTCCTCGAGCTGTTTGACTGATTTCGTCCATAAATACAGTATGTGCCTGTCTTAAATAATTTTCTTGTCTTGTCTTTGTCTGTAATTTGTCTTTCTGTGTCTTCTGCCTCGTCTTCGTTCTCCTGTAAAGTCGCTCTCAGATCGTGGTTGAAAACAGCCGCGTTCGCTACTTTGCCATGCAAGGTTCATGGAAGGACCTCGAGCTTTGTCAGCAATGTCGACTGACAAATCTGGCAAACACTTATTTCAGGCAAAACACATTCAATGTGGAAAGAATGA